CCGCGACCCAGTAGCCTCTCGCAGAAGCGGGGTTCCCACAGGCCACCGTGACGGCGGCTTCGGGCGAGCCTGGCAAGGCTCAGAGGCTGCGGACAATAGCGCTAAGGGCCCCTCTGAGTCCCCCGCACTCAGATGGACCCTGCTCCTCTGGGGCCACTGCCTGAGCCCCAGCCATGACCCCCACGCCGCCCCGGCTAACGGGAGGTGCCAAATATTTTCCCCGTTTTTAAACGAGGAAGCCAAGTCACTGAACTGCGCGTGGAGCGCGGAATGCGATTCACAGAATGCTGAAGCACGGAGATGATGCCGCTGAGATTCAGTTCCTTCACCTCACAGAGAGAGCTGAGCTCAGGGAAGTCAGGCCACTTCGCAAGGGTCACACAACTGCTAAGAGCTGAGAGCAGGCGCCTGCCTGAGTCCCAGCTCCGTGGACTCCTCCCACCTCCTCATGCTTCTGCATCCTGTGTCCATGTACAAAGCAGATGTAGCAAGTTTAAAATTCTTCTGTGGTAGAAACAAGGGAACCCAAAGACTCCTTTGTTTGCTTCTGTCAGGCAGTTATAAATGCTTTTACAAAGACGCATTAAATCCTCACCACCTTTTAAGTCAGGTGCTCAATAGCATTCTTGTCTTGACCATGACAAGTGAGGAAACCAAGGCCCAGAAAGGGTCACGCTGGCCTGCGGCTGGTGCTGGGATCCGACTCCTGAGGCAGCTCGCTTCCTTCCTTACCCTATGCTGCCTCTTCATAGGATGACTGAAGAGCAAGGAGCAAAAATAGCAAGAAATGAAACCTTGGACAGCTCCATGGACCTGGAATGATTGCGCCTTTGGTTTAAGAGAGTAGACATGGAGTCATGTAGGATGAAGGCCCTCTGTGAGGTTCTGTCTTTAAAAGGAGGTCCTCTCCTCAAAAGACACCTCATGAGGTGACTGAGATGCAAAGTGATTTATAACTGATGCTATTTTTCTTAGACCATGTCAATTTGGTATAAATATCAAGGTGGGTATTGCTTCTTGAATCTAATGTGTCGTATTAGGCTGTAGGAAAGGTGAGTAGAAAAAAAAATGAATTAAAAAACTCAGCATAGGACCATAGGTGGCGCAGCGGTTGAGCGCTGGGTTGCGAAGCTGCCCGCAGCCTCTGCAGCGCTGGTTCGATCCCTGGCTGCTCCCCGGCCACAGGAAGAGGGTCCCACATGGCGCGCAGACCTCTCCTGCCGCCCGCTGCTCCCCTCAGCAGTGTACTTCGGTCCTTCTGCCTGCTCTGCTCCCCGCTCTGGCTCTGGTGAATTCTCTCACCCTCCCGCGCTTCTGACTGTACCCAGTGCTTGTATAAATAAATAAAATAAAATAAATCTTTAAAAAGAAAAAAAAAGTAAACAGTAGTCACTTTACCTTAGATAAAACTTTAAAAAATAAAATAAAACACACTCAGCATAGGTTTCCCTCTCCTGAGGAAACACAAAGGTCAATGTCAACCTTAGGAGTTCAAAGCTGCTCCCTTTTCACCAATTAAATCAGGCTAAACTTTTAGAGCCCAGCATTCACTTGTAATTTTTTTTTAAGATTGATTGATTGATTGATACATACAAACAAGCACTGGGCACAGTCAGAAGTGCAGGAGGGTGAGAGAATTCACCAGAGCCAGAGCAGGGAGCAGAGCAGGCAGAGGGACCGAAGTACACTGCTGAGGGGAGCAGCGGGCGGCAGGAGAGGTCTGTGCCCCATGCGGGACCCTCCTCTGGTGGCCGGGGAGCAGGCGGGAATCGAACCGGCGCTGCAGAGGCTGTGGGCAGCTTTGCAACCCAGCGCTCAACCGCTGTGCCACTGGGGAGGCCCTCACTTGTAATTTTGTATGACAAAAACACTTTCATGTCAACACATCAACTATCATTTGTTTAAAACCATCAACCTATGTTAAATTGAAGATGTGCTACTAAAATCTGCTGGCTTGGTGGAGACTCTAGTTCTGTCTATGCTGTCAGCTTAAGCTAAATGTGAAGTGGGTAATAGTCTAGACCTTCGCGAACCCTAAGCCTGGTCTGTAATTTCCAGTTGAACATAGTGGTGCTCTCAGCATTTCCATTTCCACCTAGTAGTACTTTCAATGGGGTGATGGCACTTTTTGTATTGACTGTTAAGTCTTCTTGTTTGCACATACTGAGTTTTCCAGGTTTTATGTGTGTTAGGGTTCAGTTTCATTTTCCTTTGAATCTCAGATGGTAGGTGTGATGTAACAATGAAAACATACATAATTTGCTACCTTGTCCCTGGCTTCTGGTCCAGAGTGCCTAAAAACTCTGGAAATTCATGATATGCCTTATTATTCAAGTAAGTCCCTTGGACCATACCTGAGTTTACACTAATGAGGTCTCTTGGCGCCTGCTGCTAAAGGAACCAACCCCTAAATTAGAGGGCTACCCAAGATCTCAAGGGAGAGAGGTTGGGAATTAAGTCTGGTAACCAGTTGCCAATGACTTAATCCATCATGGGTAGGTTACACAACTTCAGTGCACCAGGTTAAGGGAGCTTCCAGGTTGGTGAACACACCCGCGTGCTGGGAGGGTGGCACACCAGAGACAGCATTAAGTTCTGCCCATCCCCTTGGCCCAATAATCTCTTCCATTAGGCCATTCCTGGGTTGTATCCTTTACAGGAAGGTTAAGTATAGTGCTTTCCTAGGTACTGAGTTGGCCTATGGCATCATTAAACCGGAGGGGTAGGAACTCCTAATTTGAAGCTGACAAAGCAGAAGAGCAGGAATCCCAGGGACCCTATTTTCAGCTGGTTTCTGAAGTGAACTTGAGGAGTGTATGCTAACTTTGGGTAGTGTCAGAATTGAAGGCCACCCAGTCGGTGCTGGAGAATCAAGGAACTGCTGCGGAAGAGGCGCTCCTGTCATGCTCCAGTGTACTTGGGAGTCCTGTGATTACCAGCGGCTGGCCCTCTCCTGCCCAGTTTCGACACTGCAGACCGAGCTAAAATCTCCAGCAGTAGAAGTGGGAGGAACAAGGTATCCAGTCTAGTACTTGATGTCAATATACATCATGGGTTTTAAAAGTAGCTGTTTTGTATAAAAATGCTATGTAAACTGCAAAATGCCAAATCAATAAAAGGTTTTTCACCAGAGGGTAGCTTTCCTCTTCTGCAACTGAGTTTATTAGAATTTGCATATGTTACACATAACTTTTGGGAAAACTAAAATGAACAAACGTATCTTGAAAGGCCTTGCCAATCTAAAAACGCCAATGAGAATTTTAAAACTTTGCTGTGTCTTTGTTCCTGATCTCCACCATGTGGTGAGAATTCTGAGTGTTTAAAAATAAACCTTGTTTAATACCTTGGCTTAAGAGTATAGCATGAGCTATTTTCAGCATTCAAAAATTCACTAGATACTAACTAGTAATGTACCTAGGTAATTACGACCACTATCAGGTTTTCTTTACTAAAACTAGCTCAGGAGTATGGACATCCTAAGGCAAACTGAAAATTCAATGTGACTCAATTTTATCATGGTATTCTTTTACCTCAAAGGTAAAAGGAAAAATAAGCCTTGTAGTTTGTACCCAATAGCCAAACAGGAAAGACTTCGAGATGTCCCTATACTTTTTTGATCTTAAAAATACAAATCCCTATTCAAGTTACCTTTACCTTTGACTTCTCCAGTTGTGCGAAACCATTTTCTTTCTGTATATTTCATAAATGTGATACCATTTAACATCAGCACTACCAAAGGGTGTTTAAGTTGAACTGATCTTTTAAATTTAACTCACTAATAAGTTGAGAAAGTACTTTTAAAATCACTTCTACCTAAAAAAAAAAAAAAAAAAAATTCATTGGCTATTGTGCCCTACCATGGAAGAACTGCAAATATCCTCTTCCTTCCTTCATTACCTCTGAACTGATTTTTGAGGATTGGAGACATGAAATAAGAATTTTCTATCTCAATTCATGCATTAGGCATGTTATACAGGTTCATAAAGACACATAAGAAAATATCCCGGGCCTCCCCGGTGGCGAAGTGGTTGAGCGCTGGGTTGCGAAGCTGCCCGCACTCTGCAGCGCCGGTTCAATCTCCGGCTGCTCCCCGGCCACCGGAAGAGGGTCCCACATGGTGCGCAGACCTCTCCTGCCGCCCACTGCTCCCCTCAGCAGTGTACTTCGGTCCTTCTGCCTGCTCTGCTCCCCGCTCTGGCTCTGGTGAATTCTCTTACCCTCCCGTACTTCTGACTGTACCCAGTGCTTGTATAAATAAATAAATAAACAAAAAAACAAGAGTTCTCCTTTAAAAAAGAAAGAAAGAAAGAAAATCCTTACTAGCCTCCCAAAAAAAAAAAAAAAAGAAAATATCCCTAACCACAAACCAACTTCCCCATTGGTAATTAAAAAACAGAGTCAAGAATACATTTTAAAGTTTACTTTAAAAATGTAAATATCTCCCAGTATTTAACAGGTAAAGAAAATAGCATATTGGTTTATTTTATGTGGCTGTTATATTTTATTTTCCAAGTAATACTGATTAAAAATATTTACACACCTACTTTTAAGTCCACAGTTTAGCACTCTTATTTGTATGGCTTTAAAAGTTATAGCACAAGATCTTTACATTAAGGATGGGGGGGGGGAGATTCATTCAAAACAAAGCCTGATAAATTATATACATGTTTTTTTCTGTACTTTATTTTAAATACATTAATTTTTAAATGATGCTCATTTTTTTTTCATCTGGTGGTAAAATACTAGTGCAACTTTTCATCAAAATAAAGTTTACCACAGATATAAACGAATTTTCTCAATTGAAAAATGGCCCCTTCAGCTGCCATTAAATGAATTTCTCAACCTAACGTAAGTGAAAAAGAATTGGTAGTTTCATTATAAGCAAAAATATAAAGCACTAGAGCATCGCCTACACTGCTCCTTACAACACCAACTTGGAAAGAACCAGAGATGCTTAATCAGTTTTGAAAAGGCACATGGGTGTGTTTTTTTTTTTTTTCTTTAACATTCTAGGAATTTTGCCACCACTACTCCATTTCTGTCGCAGAGATAACGTCGTTAACTATTAAGGTAGACAAGAATGTTGTTCAAACTAAAGAAAGCCAGAAGCCAAAATTTAACTGCACAGTAACAATGCACTTTTCTTCATGCAGCCTTGTTTTTCCTATATATTCAATTTTCTAACATGCATTAGAATACATAAGCCTGTATTCTAATGATTTTACATTTGATTTTACAATATTGGAAAAGATTCGAGGAAGGACATGACCTGGGAAAGAGAAGGGAGAACCCTTACCACAATGAAAATACATTCATACCCAACTATATAATAAGAATATAATCATTTAAGTTTACAGAAATATACTTCTCAAAGTTCCCCCTTCCCTTATTGGAAAAATCCCTCCTCTGTGGCATTAATGGGGACTGGGGTGGGAGTGAGAATCAGTTTGTTTCAGTAGAAACAGTTCAGCACAACAGGAAAGAGTTTAACTTTGGTCCACTTGTCTGTTAGCTTAAGGACAGTCACACTGCCCATCATCAGTTCAAAAACCCAACACATATATTTAAAAATATAATCCTTTGTTATTTCACTCTAAAACCGGCACAGATGTTCTGTTCTCCTTCCCTGCCTTTTCAGCTTGGGAATCCACTGTTGGCGTGGTGTCTATATCCGCAGCCTCTTCATGATCTTCCCTGGCAGCCTCAGCAACATCTGCTTGGCTAGGCTCTCTCTCTTCCTGGTTCATGATTTCAGGGGCCACTTGATCCAAATCTGCTTCTAGAAGCTCAGTTTGTACTTCCACTGGCATCTGATTTACCCGTTCGACATGCAGCTCCTCTACATGTACTTCAGTACCTTCTTCAGTCTGAATTCGACCTACTTCTAGATAGCTCACCTGGACCTGCTCTGGAAGTTCACTGATATGTGAATCGTGTACTTGGCTGTCCTGGAGCAGATCTGGGTGGACCTGTTCTACAGTCACTTGTGCTGAGTCCACCTGAACCTGAAGCAGTGGTAACACATGCACCTTCCCAACTTGTTCTATTATAGTCATTGATGTCACAGGTTCAGTTTGCACACGTGTTTCTACAGAGAGAACTTCTTCAGTTACTAGACGCTCTGAAATATTGTGAGTATCACTGAGATGCCTTCTAAATTCATTTCCCTGCATAAACCACAAGTCACATAAAGTACAATGGTTGGGTTTATCTCCAGTGTGTATTACCAAGTGATCTTTGAACTGGTCCCAGCTGTTAAACACACTATTACAGACCTGAAATAATCAAACATATATTGTTAACAATACAGATATTAGAACTGAAGGATATATGGATTATTTTCTCTGTAAGGAAAACACTGGAATTTTTCTGAAAATGTTATGAATGTGGTTATTTGTAATATAAACTGATGCAAGACATTTCATAATTCTTTGGTCTTTTAGCTAATGTAACTAACAACTGAGGTACATTTTGGGCAACACTTTAACACTGCCTTCATTGTTGAAATCTTATATAAATTTTAGGAATAAAGTAATAACACAGTTTCATAACATCAACATTTAAAATCATTGTATTTTGGAGGATACATACTGATCATGAAAGAATTCATTTCAGCTGGACTGCCTCCCCGGCAACCTGCAGTGGACCTGAATCTACAGACTGTGTGCGCGCTCTCTTTCTTGTTCGCTCGCTCTCTCTATATACACATACACACGTACATATATGTGTGTGTGTGTGTGTGTGTGTATATATATATATATATATATATGTAGGTTCACATCTGCCTTCCTGGACATAATTTTATTGACACTGTTGTCATCTTGGATCAGGTTTTAAAAAAATTATTCTAATCGTCCTTATAAAGTCATGACAATGATGTTCCCACTCCCTGTCAGCTCTGGACCTTTGCCCTAAACTGTTACCCTTCACTTTTAATGATTTCAAACACACAGTCCTTTGCAAAGGACAGAATACACCCACACATACCTGACATTCATAAAGCTTCTTTCTTCCCTTTTTCGCCCCCACTCCAGTTTGGCATGCAGTCAGGTGACATTTGAGGGTGCTATTTCTAGCAAAACGTTCATGACAATTTGGACATTCAAAAGGTTTTTCACCTATTAGAACAGAAAATTAAATTGACAAATTAAAACAAAAAACAAATAGTTTTTCTTGGTTAAGTCTAATAGCACCTTCTGGACAGGAGGGTTATAATTCAAACATTTCTACCACACCCACAAGACTCCTTTAGAGGTAGAAATAATAATTTTTAGTACTTATATCTTTGCTTGACAAAGAAAATTTAGAGCTGAGTTTTTTTTCTTTTGCATTTCTTAAACTTTCTTATTTTCCCTCACATAAAAATCAATTAGAAATTAAATCAATTTCTATTTCAGGTCAACACATCACTATTCATCTAGCAAGAACAGGGTGAGTAGTATGATGGGATCAGAAGCCAAAGCACAGTAGGATGAGGGAGGTGAGTGAGGCAAGCCAATGAAAACAGTACAGAAATTCTTTCCAAGATGGCTTGGATAGCAAGAGGGAGAGGTGACTGGAGGTGGACACAATCAGAGAGCTAAGTCAGAAGAGTCACTGTTTATTTACTAAAGAGAAAGGAGCCAGTGGAGGAGGAGAGGAGAGAGAATGACGGATGGGAAGACAACATTTAGACATCAAGGTGTGGACACAGGATTGCCCTCGAAGGCAGCAATTTTCTGTAATAAAAGAGGAGACAGAGATGGAAGTTCCCACCCACAAGCGAGATGGTACGAAGACACGACATCTGGTGGGGTGGGATGTGGACTTATGTGTATGAGCCAGTATTTAAAAGGCCCAATGTTAGATCTGAGATATGAATTTTTTTCCAGCAGTGCTCAGCAGGGAGTAAGAGTACATGGCTGCAATAATCCAAGGAGGATTTTTTAGAGAAAATGGGGTCAAAAGGCAAGAAGAGTGTGTTTATATTATAGCACAAGAAAAAGTGAATCAAGCTGTATACAATGAGGACAAAATAGAAATGAGAAATGGGTCAATAAACTACATAGAAAGGGCTAGAAGAAACAGTCTCAGACAAGCGCGAGGAGAAGAGTGAGAGATGAAGGGACAGAATGATGTATGTAAAGAACAGGACTGGAATTTCAGAGGTGGAGCCTATGATGCTTCCAGAGTGATCTAATGAAGGAGGAAAGAGACGCACTTTTCATTGCGTGTCATTGAACTTATGTTATTTGAGTATTTTCTATTTAAAAATTAGTTTACAATACCCAATAAAATCTACAAATAGCAAAAGACTTAGATGTGTGGGCAGTACAGTCTTCCACATGCTTTCATTGCTTTCTTTTTGTTACAATCCAGTAAATAGGTACCATTATTTAGCTTAATTTATACAGACAAGGAGATACCGAAAGCTAAAGTGACATATTAAGTTCATCATGTAGGCAAATGTCAGAACCGGAGCCAGAAAGCAATTCCGATGTCCAGACACACACAGTTTCTATGAGTTCACATTACTTCTCTGGAAAATTAGGTAATAATCATTTGAAAATATGGCTGACGGTCAGCTGTAGGGTTCTCTTCCATGCTGGGCATACCACAGTGTATCTCCCAATATGTCTGTTACCAGCCCCCCTTCCCAAAGTGCTTATCCTTCTATAGTTTTTTCTGAAGTTAATAATCACCAATCATATCACTACCTAATCAGAAAGCTAGGAGTCAGGCCTCCCCTGGTGGCGCAGGCAGTTGAGTACGCCCTGTGAGGCTGCCCGCAACCTCTGTAGCGCTGGTTCGATCCCAGCCGGCTGGCGAGGGTCCCACATGGCACAGCAAACCTCTCCTGTCTCTCCCGCTGCTCCCCTCAGCAGTGTGTTTCGTCAGTCTGCCTGTTCTGTTCCCCACTCTGTCTCTGGTGAATCCTCTTACCCTCCCGCGCATCTGGCCTGCACCCCAGTTTTTGTATAAATAAATCTTTAAAAAAAAGCTAGGAGTCACTGTCTTACCTCCATTATCCCACTGATCCCCAAACCCTTTTGAGTCTGTCTACTTAATGTTATTCACATCTCTGACACTTTTCCTCTTTTTGTTTATATTTTTCCAAGAGTTTCCTAATCAAAACTAGAATTCCTCCAACCCATCATATCTCTCAGTACTGTCTTTAAAACAAATATGATCGGAACCCCTCCCAGCTTAAACGTCTTTACAATGACGTGAAGTCTTCCAAGATAAAATCTAACTCATTTACGGCACTTAGTATGCAATCTCAGGCTAGTCTCCCGTCTCTTGCTCTCACTTACACAGGCTGCATGTGCAAGCATGCTTGCTGGTTCTCCCGCTCTCCTCTGTGAACCGCTGTGGATTATCCAGCTGCCTCTCCTGGCATTCCTTCATTTAGCCCCAATCCTCCAGCCGGAATAATCTACCAGCAGTGCTCCCAGAATCCCTTCCCCTCGTTCCTCTATGCCTGTGTATTGTTCCATTTCTTTTGCCTGAAATGCCTGTCTCCTGGCCAACTCCTTTCCCTCTGAGAGTCATGACAGGGTAATCCCTCTAGGAAACCATTCTTGTCTCATCTCCATGACCTTGTGGTACTGATTTTAAAAAAAGAATTTCAATGAAATGTGACGTCATTGTGGAAAAAAAATACACTTTCAACCTGAAATATCTGCTAATTACCTGTATGTTTTCGAAGATGTTCTTTAAAATGTCCAAAGTGGTCAAATTGTTTCTCACAGTACTGACAAATGTGAATTTTTTTCCCAGTTCTTTGCTTCTTACTGACTCCACCTTCTTCAAGGTGGTAACAATTGAGGTGCTGTTTCCATGCGCTCTCGCGAAGATACCTTTTATTGCATATGTCACACTTGAAACTCTCAGTTGAGTGTGATTTCATGTGTTCCTTAAAATGGTAAAACAATTTAAATGAACGGTTACATTTCTCACAATGGAATAAGTCCTTCACATGTGACAGCTGAAGTTCCACAATTTCAATACCTTCTACCTGTTTGCTTGTGGGGTCAGATGCACAGCCGTCTTCGTCTTTAATCTGCCCTTTTCTATCACCTTGACGGTACTTGCTGGTAATATCCGCCAACAATGCCAGAGCGGAGTCGTCAGAGGAACCTGTGCTCTGAATGTACTTTATGGATTGTTTGGCAGAAGCTACCTCCTCTAAGGTTTCGATGCCTTCATCTTCCACTTCAATTGTGCCTTCAGCAATCTCCACTTCAATTTCAACAGGTTCTGATTCTGCAGATGGCAACGACTCAGTGATAACATTTGAAGTTTCTGCAATTTTTCTTTTTTTTGCCTCACTTTTTCCTGTAGTACTTTCCTCTAGTGGAGCTGAGTTTTCTTTGCTCCTGAAATACAAAATAATATGGACTGAAAAATCTGTAAGATAAGTCAAGACCCTGCCAGGCTTTTGGGAACTGATAAGCTGATAAAATCTATACAGAAAGGTAGAAAACAAAATTGGAAGACTTACAACCTGATTTCAAGACTTACTAAGTAGGGCCTCCCCAGTGGCGCAGCGAGTTAAGCGCAGTGCTGTGAAGCTGTCTATAGCCTCCGCAGTGCCAGTTCGATTCCCAGCTGGCCAGGGAGAATCCCACATGGCGAGGCAGACCTCTCCTGTCTTGCCCGCTGTTCCCCTCAGCAATGCTTTCGATCTGTCTGCCTGTTCTGCAACCCACTCTGTCTCTGGTGAATCCTCTCACCCTTCCGCAACTCTGGCCTATACCCCAACTCTTGTATAAATAAAAATAAAAAAATCTTAAAAAAAAAAAAAAAAGACTAATAGCTAATGTAAATTAAAATGTGATTATCAGTGAAAGGACAAATATGAAGATTAATAGAGCAGAATAAATAGAACTGAATAGTCTTGAGATAAATCCACCTCTATAGTCAATTGAGTTTTGAAAAAAGGTTCCAAGGTAACTTAATGGAGAAAGGTTATCTTTAACAGAGTACTGCTGGAATAATTGGTATTGATTGATATATGGGAAAAATAAACCTTGATCTTTACCATCATATCAAACACAAAAAAAATCAAATGATTATATACTTACTGACAAGAACTTAAACTACTGAATTTCTAGAACAGGAGAAAATCTTTTTAACACTGGGTTTTTTTGCCTTTTTTTTAAAAAGATTTATTTATTTTTATACAAGAGCCGGGGTATAGGCCAGAGACACGGGAGGGTGAAAGGATTCACCAGAGATAGAGCAGGGAGCAGAACAGGCAAACGACAGAAATACCCTGCTGAGGGGAGCAGCGGGTGAGACAGGAGAGGTCTGCCACGCAATGTGGAATTCTTGCCGGCCAGCTGGGATCGAACCCGTACTGCAGAGGCTGCGGACAGCTTCACAGCGCAGCGCTCAACTTGCTGTGCCACCGGGGAGGCCCAACGCTGGGTTTTTAAAGCAGCACACACACACACACACACACAAACCCCAGAAGCCTTAATGACAAAGTTGGAAAAATAATTTTCTTCCATTAAAAACTTTCCTTTTGAAACAAAAAGGCAAGCCACACACCCTGAAAAAAGTTTTGAACATTCTCTCTCAAAGGTCTTGTACGGAGAGTATAAAAAGAATTCCACAATTCAGTAAACAGTAAGAAAAAGACAACTGTTGAGAGACAATTCTCCATTGAGTCTTTTCTGTTTTTACACATCTTATGAACTGACAGTTTGGTTCTGGATTATTTCTTCAGAGAAGTTTACAGTAACCAATAGCCCGGGAAGGTGGAGAGTGGCTCCCTCTGAGACAGAGGGCAGCTTTGCTTACCGCTCAGTGTATTACTTGTTTAGCCCACTATAAAAGATTTGGTTTTCCTCAACTGAGTGGTAAACCAATCACCTACACAGCATTATTCAAGTGGCCACTGTACATCACCTGTGTGGAACTTTAGGGAAAGTAACAGTCCATTCTTTTTGATATGTAAGTCTCACATCTTCTAACAGCATCCATTAAATTGTGACAGGGTAACTTGACAGTTTGCAAGTGGTTAAAGATCACAAATCACTTACAGTACTTGCTAAGCTTAACAACAAGAACAGACTGCTACAACAGGTTTTCAGGGGAGTCCTCAGAGCAATTATTGGGATATGGGGAGGTCCTGGAAGCATACATGCTGATCAAACAGTACAGTCAACTGAGAAATAAACATCCTCTGCTCTACTGCCTATTGCTATGAGTTGAACTGTGTCTCTTGCCACCCCCTCCACCAAAATACATGTGTGCATGTGTTTAAGTCCTGATCCCTGATACTTATGAATGTGACCTTAGTTGAAAACACATTTTTGTAGATGTAATGGATGAGCTCATTAGAGTGGGTCCTACTCACCAGAATTAAATCCATACTTAGATAGACAGTTAATTTATGACTAAGGAAGTGAGAACATATAATGGAAAAAGGAAAGATTTTTTTCAATAAATGGTCTTAGGAAAATCAGTCATATACAAAACAATGAAAAAAAAAAAAAGACTATCTCACATAGATGCACGAAATTTAAAATGGATCTAATGCTTAGATGTGAGATCTAAAACTATAAAATTCTTAGAGGAAAACAAAAAACACTCCATGACATGGGTTTCAGTGAAGGCTTTGGAAAAAGAACTCCAACAGCAAGAGAAGCAAAAGCAAAAATATACAAATGGGACCACATCAAACAAAAAAGCTTCTACACAGCATAATAAACCATCAGTAAAAGATAATAGCCTAATGAATGGCAGAAAATATTTGCATACTATATATCCAATAAGAGACTAATATCGATCAACGAGTACTCACAGAACTCAACAATCACCACCAAGCCAAATAACCCAATCAAAAAATGGGGTTCTGGAGAAAAGCTAAACAGGCACTTCTTCAAAGGAGACAAACAGATGGCCAACAGGCACACAGAAAAATACTCATCATCACTTACGATCAGGGAAATGCAAATCAAAACCACAAAGAGATACCACCTCATACCTGTGAGAATAGCCCACATCAGAAAGACCAGAAACAAGTGCTGATAAGGATGTGGAGAAAAAGGACCCTCATACAGTGTTAGTGAGAACGTAAACTGGTCTAGCCTCTTTGGAAAACAGATTTCTCAAAAAATTAAAAATATGGGCCTCGGGGCTCCCCTGGTGGCGCAGCGGTTGAGCGCTGGGTGTTGCAAGGCTGCCCGCAGCCTCTGCAGCACCAGTTCGATCCCCGGCCACTGGCGAGGGTCCCACCAAAAAAAGGAAAAAAAAAAAAAAAAGGGCCTTTCTGGTGGCGCAGCGGGTTGAGCACAGCGCTGTGGAGCTATCCGCAGCCTCTGCAGTGCCGGTTCAATCCCGGCCAGTGAGGGTCCCATGTGGCACGGCAGACCTCTCCTGTCTTACCCGCTGCCCCCCCGCAGCAGTGTATTTCAATAGATCTGCCTGCTCTGTTCTGTTCCCTACTCTGTCTCTGGTGAATCCTCTCACCCTCCTGTGCATCTGGCCTGTACCCCGGTTCTTGTATAAATAAATAAATCTTTAAAAAAAAAAACAAAAGGAGAGGAACATTTAGATACATACAGAAAGAGAAAGCCATACAGATAAAAAGGAAAGATGGTAGTATGAGATGGATGCAGACTGGAGTTATGGTAACATAGTCAAAGAATGCCTGGGAGCACCAGAAGCTGAAAAGGCAAGGCAGGATCCTTTAACTGAGGCTTCTGAGGTAGCACAGCCCTCCTACTACCTTGATTGAGGATTTCTAATCTCAAGAACTGTAAACATATTTAAGTCAGTAAGTTTGTGGTACTTTGTTATGGTAGCCCCAGGAAACCAAAACATACTTATGAAGAAAAACTGGGAAGGTGGTTGCAGGAGGAGTACTAGGCAGTAACATTAAGGCCAGCTGCTGGAATTGTGTGCTGGTTGTTGAAAACTTGGGGGAAGGAATTCCCTGTCAGTCTGATGGTCAGTCTGAAATCTGCCATCATTAACAATTAAGATTCGTGTGTGTGTGTGTGTGTGTGTGTGTGTGTGTGACAGAAACAGGGTCCGTCCCATTTCCCCCCCATCCCCTTTAATTGTGTACTCTGTTATTTAAAGAAACTAGTATAGGGCCTACCTGGTGGCGCAGCGGTTGCGCGCTGGGCTGCGAAACTGCCCCGCAGCCTCTGCAGCATAGGTTCGATACCCGGCCGCCAGCAAGGGTCCCGCATGGCACGCAGACCTCTCCTGCCGCCCGCTGCTCCCCTCAGCAGTGTACTTCGTTAGTCTGCCTGTTCTGTTCCCTGCTCTGGCTCTGGTGAATTCTCTCACCCTCCCACGCTTCTGACTGTACCCAGTGCTTGCATAAATAATAAATAAATAAATCTTAAAAAAAAAAAAAAATAAAGAAACTAGTATATTGTTACCTGGCTTCATCAAAGAAATTATAAAAAAATTTTCTCTCCCTCCACCCAAACTATCCCTTGAATTTCCTATCCCCTTTCACTCCTAAATCCCTCTTTAACTGTTACATGAATGTCCAATACTTGTTTTTATCAGTTCTAACTTGTTTTGCTGCATATAATTTTTTCAGATTCCCTCCATTCTGTTGAATAGCTGCATTTCATCTTTTCCTGTGGCTATGTAATATGGAATGTACTATTATCTTCTTGACCGATTCGTGCACTGAAGGAGATTTAGGCTGCTTCCATATCCTAGCTACTGTAAATAATGCTGTTGTAAATACTGTGGAACATACGAGATTTACTGTTAAATATTCTGTGGAAATATGCCCATGACTGGAAATGCCTGGTCATACACTAATATTTCCACTTTTAATTTTTTAAAAAGATTTATTTATTTATTTATACAAGCACTGGGTACAGTCAGAAGCACAGGAGGGTGAGAGAATTCACCAGAGCCAGAGGGGAGAGCAGAGCAGGCAGACTGACGAAGTACACTGCTGAGGGGAGCAGCGGGCGGCAGGAGAGGTCTGCACGCCATGTGGGACCCTCGCCCGGCAGCCGGGGATGGAACCAGTGCTGCAGAGGCTGCGGACAGCTTCGCAACTCAGCGCTCAACCGCTGCACCACTGGGGAGGCCCTCCACTTTAAATTTTTTAAGGTAAATCGAGATTGCTTTCCATATGGTTTTACTTTCATCAGTTCAGATTCCCACCACCAATAGGGTTCCTTGCCAACATCCTCTCTTATGTGACTTGTTGGGGATCTTTTTGATATGTGCCATTCTCAAGGGTGCTAAGGGTATCTACCTGTAGTTTTAATCTGCATCTCCTACTGGGAGTGATGAACACTTTATCATGTCTTTTAGCCTTCTTTAGTGAACTGTCCTGTTCAGATCTGCTGCCTATTTGTTAACTGTGCTTTTTGCTGTTGAACTG